GGCAGCGGGACCGCGGGAGCCGTGTCCGCGGCGCTGCGGGACCTGCTCGCGCCTCCGACGGCTCCTCTCCGCCCAGAGGAATTGCTGCAGCGGCTTTCCAGCGGATGGAAGTACCACGACGGGAAGATCTACTACTTCTCCAGTGACCGCAAGCCCTGGCAGGACGCCGAGGACTTCTGTGTGTCCAAACGGTCCCACCTGGTCTCTGTGACCAGTGCGGCCGAGCAGGTGGGAGCTGTGGCCGTGGCCTCGTTGCCTTCACAGCACTTCTGTGATCCCAGTGGGGCTGCCCCCTCCTCCTCTGCCCGGCGGACGCCTCCCAGGACAGGATCCATCCACGTCGGCTTCTCTTGCATCCCCCTCCCTAATCGCAGCGCTCCTCATCCTCTCCTCCTGCAGGAATTCCTGGCCCAGGAGGCGGGGAAAGAGTTTTACTGGATCGGCCTCACGGAGTCGGGCACCGAGGGCAGCTGGCGCTGGGTGGACGGCACCGAGTACCGGCAGGACGCGAGGTGAGCGGGCTCGGGCAGGGCGGCTCCGCAGGATGTCACCGGAGTGGCCGGGAGGGACGAGGCGCCCTGAACCCAGCGCCTCGAGACCCGAGCAGACCCCGTGAGCTGTGATCGGTCCCTTCCCGTCAGCTTCTGGGCTCTCGGACAGCCGGACAACACGGACCACGGTCGGAGAGGAAGGGAAGATTGTGCTCAGATCCATCCGGTGGGAAAGGGCCTCTGGAATGACCATAACTGCAAATTCTCCTTCCTCTGGATCTGCAAGAGTGACGTGGTTGCGAAAGCATGCTGATGGGGGGCGACGCCCGTCCTGGGGACAGACTCAACCGTCTGGGATCCCCGCAACCCCTCGAGGCTCCACACTCGGTTCCCCGACGGCGCCGATTCCAATATAAACCCTGCTCATCTCTGCGCCTCTGCTGCGTGTGATTTTCAGCCGTGCGCGGGATACAGGATTCTCACACGGGGACATGGATCCTGCTCACACAGCGATCAGGGATCCTTCTTACAGCGGGCACAGAGAACCTCCTCTCACAGCAGATAGGATGCTGCTCATGCAGGGGACAGGGACTCTGTTCACGCGGGGGACTGCGGAGCCAATCCAGCCCCATGAGCTCCCTGTCTGTGCAATTTTCCCTTTCCCCAGATCTGCAAGAGGTCTCTGGATGCAGACGGGATCTGACCGGTCGGTCCCGTCCCGCTCCTTGCCAAATCCCGCCAGCCCCGTCTCTGCTGCCCCATAAGCAGCGTGGCTGGGGTTAGACGCGACCGTCGAGGCCCCGCGCTCGGTCCCCGGTAGCATCGAGCACAATACAAACCCTGTGCATACCTGCGCCACTGCTGCGTGTGATTTTCGATTGTGATAGGGGCCGCACAGGACCCTCACGCGGGGGACAGGGATCCTCCCCATATGAGCGACAAAGACCCAGCTCGCACAGAGACAGAGATGCTGCTTATTTCAGATTCAGGGACCCTGACGCGGAGAACAGAGACCCTGCTCACAAGGGGGACAGGATCCTGCTCGTACAGGGGACAGGGGCCCTGCTCGCTCGGGAGCACTGTGGGGCCAATCTGGCCCAGCGAGCTCCATGTTCTCGCCCGCTTTCTCTCCCTACCCCCTAGCCCCCCCACACCCAGGAAGACACGCGACGGCAGCGCGATAGGGGAGGCGGCGAGAGGGATGGCATCCGCGTAGCTTCGGAACAGTTTCCTTATCTGGGATCTCGGAAAAAAAAACCCACCAAATCAGTTCTGTGCAGAGTCTGTGGGGAAGGAGAAGCGGCTGACGGGGCTCAGCGGGGCGCCCAGAGCCGACCATGGGCGACGGGGATCTGTACGAGAATGTGGAGATGAAGCGATTTTCCTCGCGGGACGGTGAGCGCTGCCCCCATTGAGGCCTTGGGACTGTGCCCGGGGTCGTTGGAAAACGGGGGAACCTTGGCGGCCCGTCTGTGGCCGGCTCCGCGGCCCCGCTCAGCCCCTGGCGCTGCTCTCTCCCCGCAGCGGCGGCTCCCGGCTCGACGGCGGCTCCGCGGCRCCGKCCGCTGGGCCCCGCGCTCGCCCTGGCCGCCCTCGTGGCTCTCGCCATGTCCCTCGCGGCCCTGGGCGCTCTCTGTAAGTGCGGGCGGGTCCCGGCGGGCCGGGGGCGGCGGTGGCAGCCCCGTGGCGAGGCAGGGGCCGCTGCGAGCGCTGCCTCCGCCGCCCGCAGACGTGCGGGCCGAGCGGGAGCTGCGCGCGGCCAGAGCCGCGGCCGCCGGAGCCTCCGCGCCGCCCGCCTGCGCCCACAACGGCTCGCTCGGTGAGCGGGCACCGAGCGCGACGGCAGCGGGGAACGAGCGGGGCTGGAGCGGGGACTGAGCGGCACGGGAGCAGGGAATGGGTGGGGACAGAGCGGGACGGGGACCAAGCGATCTGGGGGCAGGGAAGGGAACGGAATCGGATCGGGAGCGGGGCCAGAGTGCGGCTGGAGCGAGGCCGGGATTGTGATGTGAGCAGGAGCGGTGCGGGAGCGCTGTGGGAACGGGGGCGGTGCGGCAGGAGGGCTGGGACATGGAGCGGGGCCGGTGCGGGAGGGGGCCGAGATCGTGACTGGAACGGTCACGATCTTGACCGAATGTGGTGCGGACGCGGTGTGAGCGCGGGATGTGGGAATGGGAGAGGCGTCCGCGCGGGAGTGGGGCCGGCATATGGAGCGGGACGGGGAGATGGAGCCGGGTGGGGAGCAGGACGGGAACGGGAGTCAGGGGGCCGGTACCTGCGCTCGACGGTGGCAGCAACGGGACCCGGGAAGTCCCAATGGGACCCGAGGATTGTCGCCCGTGGACATTAGGGACCTGCACACGCTTCTGAAGGCTCCGGTGGTCTCTACAGGGCAATGGCTGCAGCGGCTTTCCATCGGATGGAAGTACCACGACGGGAAGATCTACTACTTCTCCAGTGACCGCAAGCCCTGGAAGGACGCCGAGGACTTCTGCGTGTCGAAGAAATCCCACCTGGTCTCTGTGACCAGTGCGGCTGAGCAGGTGGGAGCTGCGGAAGCGGCCCCGTCACTGCCCCCCGCGGAGCCCCCTCCCCAGGCTGGGGTCCCTCCTCCTGGCCTGGGGGGGACCCGACTCGAGGAGCCGCTCGGGAAGCGCCGGTGCTGCCGCGGCGCCTCCTCCTGCCCTGGCGCCTGCACTGCCGGGGGCCGCCCCACTGCCCCGGCGGTCCCGAGATCGGCGGTCCCGCTGTCTGGCGCTTCTCCGCTCCCCCCTTCCCCGCCGCACGCCCCACGCGCCCCCTCCTGCTGCAGGAATACCTGGCCCAGGAAGCGGGGAAGGGGTTTTACTGGATCGGCCTCACCGACATCGAGCAGGAAGGGGTCTGGCGCTGGGTGGACGGTACCAAGTACAGACAGGACACGAGGTGAGCGGGCCCGGTGCAGCGCGGGACCGGAGTGGGTCACCGGAGTCACCGGAAGGGACAAGGCTCCCCGAGTCCCGTACCTCCGGATCGGGAAGGACCCCGTGAGCTGTAACCGATCTCTCACCGTCAGCTTCTGGGCGCCGGGACAGCCGGACAACACGGACTACGGACCCAGTGGGCGGGAGGAGTGCGCGCAGATCCACCCGGTGGGAAGGGGCCTCTGGAACGACCATAACTGCAACGTCTCCTTCCCCTGGATCTGCAAGAGGCGCCTGGATGTGAATGGGATCTGATGGGGCAGCCCTGCCCCATCCCGCTCCCGACGGAGTCCTGGCCGTCCCGCACACGGCAGAACCGGGACGAGCTCGAGCCCCGCGGCGCCGCTCCCGGCTGGGACGGGCCGGTACCGGCCGCAGCGCGATCCCCTCGCCCGCGGCCACCCGAGCCGGGGCAGCCATCGCCGTCACGGCCACACGGAGAAGCGGCCGCCGCGGCGGCGCCGGCAGCGCCCAGGCCCTCGGGCGGCTCCCCGGGCACGGGGCGCTCGGACCGCCCCGCTCCGCCGCCTCCCGCCGCCCCCGGCCCCGCGAGAGCCCCGCAGGCTGCCCCGAGCTCAATACAGACCCTGCGCATCGCTGTGCCGCTGCTCCGAGTGATTTTGACTATGTGCGGGGCGGCACGGGACGCTGCTCACACCGGGACAGGGACATTGCTCACATGGGGACAGGGACATTGCTCACATCGGGGACAGGGACACTGCTCACACAGAGGGCAGGGACCCTGCTCACATGGAGATACAGACCCTGCTCACACGGGGACAGGGACCCTGCTCACAGCGGGCACAGGGACTCTGCTCACACTGGGACAAGAATCCTGCTCACATGGGGACAGGGACCCTGCTCACACCGTGGAGCCCCAGGCGCTGCTCGCTCGCGGCTCCTCCATCCCGCCGGGTTATCGCGACCCCCGCGCCGCCTCCCGACCCGTTCGGGCCGCTTTACGGAGAGCCCGGAGCGGGACGAGGGGTCGGCGCAGAGCGGCCGCGGCCTCCGCTGCAGGCGGCTCCGCAACCCTCCGCGCAACAAGACACTCGACAACAGCGCCGATGTAGGCTTCGAATTGCTTTGGAGAAGTTTCCTGCTTCTTTGGAGAAGGTTCCACGGGAGCACTGCGGGAACGGGCTCAGACCGAAGAGCTGCGGCTTCGCGTCCCCTCCCCTCGCTCCCCGTTCGTCCCGCCCCGACGGCCCCATAAACCGGCCGCACGGTGCGGGGAGGTGGCGGTGGGAGTAAGATGCCCCGAGCGAGCAGCCCTGGGGGTTGCGCGGCTTCCGTGGGACGGAGGGAAGAAGGGAAGCGCGCACGGTTGAAAACGAAGCCCAGCAGCGGCGCAGAGATGAGCAGGGTTTGTGTTGCATTCAGTGCTGCTCGAGGACCGAGCGCGGCGCCTCGAGGACCGCGTCTAAACCGGGCCACGCTGCGTGTAGAGCTGCGGAGACGGGGCAGGAGGGATTCGGTGGGGCCCATCATATCCCGTCCGCATCCAGGTCACTCTTGCAGATCCAGGGGAAATGGATGTTGCAGTTATGGTCATTCCAGAGGCCCTTTCCCGCTGGGTGGATCTGAGCGCAATTCTCCCCCGCTTTGCTCCCGTAGACCGTGTTGTCCGGCTGTCCCGGAGCCCAGAAGCTGACGGAGTGGGACCGGTTACGGCTCATGGAGGCTGTCCCGATCCGGAGACCCCGGGCAGTGGGAGCTCCGTCCGTCGCGGCCCCAGTGACTCCCCTCCGCTCCGTTCTGCCCAGGCCCGCTCACCGCGCGTTTTGCTGGTACTCGGTACCGTCCACCCAGCGCCAGATCCCTTCCGGCTCGTTGTCGGTGAGGCCGATCCAGTAAAACCCTGTCCCCGCTTGCCGGGCCAGGTATTCCTGCAGGAGGAGAGGGCGCGTGGGGCTGCGGTGCGGATGGCGGAGAGGGTGAGGGGGGAAAAGCAGTGGGGCTCGGGTCGCGGCCGGGCAGGGAAGCACCAGCAGCGGCTCTGCCCCACCGGGACCACAGAAGTGCTGTGGAGGCCTCAATGCCGCCGCCACAGCTCCCACCTGCTCGGCCGCACTGGTCACAGAGACCAGGTGAGACCGTTTGGACACACAGAAATCCTCGGCGTCCTGCCAGGGCTTGCGGTCACTGGAGAAGTAGTAGATCTTCCCGTCGTGGTACTTCCATCCGCTGGAAAGCCGCTGCAGCAATTCCTCTGGGCGGAGAGGAGCCGTCGGAGGCGCGAGCAGGTCCCGCAGCGCCGCGGACACGGCTCCCGCGGTCCCGCTGCCGCGCTCGAGCCCAGGTTGCTCCGCAGCAGCCCCTCCCCATCGGTCCTCTCCTGTCACCACCCGCCGGGTGCTGT